CCCATCATCTGCCCTGAGTAAGGAGTCCCTAGATGGTACAGACAAGTTAACGTGTTTGGCTGCTAACCAAAACGTTGGAGGTTCAGGTCTACCTAGAGGCACCTGGGATATGATCAACTTCTGAAAAGTCAGCCTTGAGAGCCGTGTGGAGCACAGTTCTCCTCTGGCACCATGAGTTCGAATAGGGTCAGCTAGCGTGTGGGAAACTCCCAGGGGTGAAGAGCGTGGATTCCTTTTCTTGTCTCTCCCTCCCCTTCCCTCTCCTCCAGACCACTTTGCAATGCACCTCTAGTTCAGGATTGCTGTAATACATATAATACCTAGTCATATATTTCTTTCAGACAATCTTTCCCCTCATCTCTTTCCATGCAGTTTTCATTATCTCTCCACTCTTTTTCTATTCTTGCCCCAACTCACAATGTCATTCCTTTCTTATATTAGCATTGTTATGCCATATTTGTCTTTTTTTGACCAATATATTTCACTCAGGATAATGTCTTCTAGGCTTCCCCATGTTGTGTAGTGTTTTACAAATTCACTGTTTTTCAGTGCTGCATAATATTCCATCATGCGAATGTGCCAGTTTGTCTATTCATTCATTTGTTGATGGGCAGTTGGGCTGCTTCCATATCTTCACTGTTATTAATAACATAACAATAAACATGGGTGTGTGTTCATCTATTTGTGTTGCAGCTCTGTTTTCTTTAGAGTGTATTCCCAGTAGTGTAGAATTACTGGGTCAAATGATATTTCCCGTTCAAACTTTTTGGAGAAAGTGCAATGAATAAGAGTTTCAATCTCTCCACAACGTCACCAGCATTTGTTATTTGCTGCCGTTTGTTGCTGTTGTGAGATGATACCACATGGTTGGTTTTAAAATTTGCGTCTCTCTGATAGCTAGGTATTTTGAACATTTCTTCATGTGTTTTTTGGCCATCTTATTTTCTTTTTTTATGAAGTATCTTTTGATATCTTGTACCCATTTTGCAATTGGGTTGTTTACCTTTTTCTTGATGAGGTGCTGAAGGATTCTGTAAGTTTTATATGAGAGTCCCTTATCAGATATGTCATTGCCAATGACCTTAGTCACAACAGACTTGAGCCCTGACCTATCTTTGCCGTACATAAACTTGCTTACACATTAGAATCCATAGGTAAATGAGCTGATTTCTTGGTTCTTAATTCTTTTCCAATGATCTGTGTGTATGTCTCTATACTGGTACCATGCTATCTTGACTTCCACAGGTGTGTACTTGGATTTGAGATTACAGGGTGTGATACCTCCTACCTTATTTCTCTTTCTGGTAGTGTTTTGCTTTATTGAGGTCCATTTCCACATCAGACAAAACTGGAAATTGCCTTTTCCATCTTGTTGAAAAATGGAGTTGGTGACTGTATTGGGATTGTATTCAGTTTCTTTCATAACGCTCTCTTTGATGTAACTCCTTACTCAGGCAGAGTCCTTGTTCCACATTGTTTGATAGGCTTTGGGGCCAATACTGTACCAAGTTAGTTAATGAAATATTGCACTTGCATTGTGGATGGGGAGGGAGACCCTCTTAAGAGGGTTATTGGGACACTGTGAGGACTGTCATATTTCTGGAGATCATGTTGTGGGAAGAGTTAAGGAATTGAGGGAGTTCACTTGGGAAGAAGAAAAGTGGTAGAAGATGGTCTGGAGAGACAGTCTCACAGATCTTTCCGGTACTGTGAGGGACGGTGATGTAGAAGAGGAATTTGACTTATTTTCTGCACTTTCAGAAAGTCAAGTGCGACCTCTGGCTTACCACTTGACCTCTGTAGGCTTTAAAGGTCTCATCTGTAATATAAGGGATTGGACTGTTGACTGAAATTGCTAAAGTCCTCTGACTAATCAGAACCAGTGAGTGGGTGTCCCTGGAGGGCAAGCCTCATGGAGTCAACTTCCTGTTTTAAGAATGGAATGTTCTAAGCCTCACTTTGCACAAGAAACGTGAGCCACACAAGGAAATCTTCCTTGTCCAGGAGCTACATTTTTTAAAGAAACAGCTAAATTCATTTTAATAATATATTTTAACCCACTGGCCTAGTGGCAAGAAGCCACACTGCAATCCCAAAGGCAGGTGGTTCAAATCCACCAGCTGCTCTGCAGGAGAAGGATAGGCAGTCTCCCCCTGTGTGATTAACTGCCTCTGAAAACCCACTGGAGAGTCAGCTATGAGTCAGTTCTGACTCAACAGTAGGCAACAAAAACAACAAATTGACTATCATTTCAATATTTGAGTAATGTAAAAAATTATTCATGAGCTACTGTACTTTCTGTATTCCAAGTTTTTGAAATCCAGTTGCCCCTAGTACTCCTAGCATAGCTCAGTTTGGACCAGCCACATTTCAAGTGCTCAGTTACCACTCTGACTTCAAACCCCAAACCAAGTCCATTGCCATTGGATCCATTTCCCTGCCACCATGTAGGGCAGAGTAGAAGTGTCCCTTAGGGTTTCCAAGACTGTAAATCATTGTGGAGGCTAACTGCCTCACATTTCTTCTGTCGAGCAACTGATGAATTCAAACTGTCGACCTTTTGAATGCCTTCAAATACCTTCACCTGTGACCAGTGACAGTCCTACCGGGCTTCACAGAATGGCATGTATATGCCCACTGTGTATTAGACTGCAGCTGAAGGCTTTGCAATTGTCTTTTCATTCATCTTTGAGGGGACCACATAATTTGTACAAGACTACATAGCTAGTTAGCCACAGGAGCCCAGGTGCAACCTTACTTAGCTCCTGGGTGAAGCCCAATGCTCTTAATAAGCAGGTACACTCTCCAAGGTAAGATTGGAAGCTCCTTATAATAGGACCACATGACTACTCACATACATACACAGTGTCTGGGCAGAAATTTGGAGGTGAATTCCACAGACCTGACATAAGCTGAATTCCAAGCAAAATAGGCAGCATTGTTTGTCCTCCAGCAACTCCTGAGACAATACACACTCATATCTTCTGTGGGGCTGGACTCTTAACACTTGGTCATTAGCTTCTCTGAAAGAGACAAGGTTCAGACTTCTTGGAAGAACATACCATAAGTAGCTCCTGGAATGTTGCTTCAAATAAGAAAGTCACTATGTTTATGTTTTTAAAACCACCCAACACATTTATTTTTAAATTGATATTCCTGCTTGATACATTGATAATGGTGTTAAGGGGCACAGTCGCATGGGAGGAAATGACACGCGGCTCTCTGAACTGCAGCAGCCAAGGGTGAGGCTGTGATGAGCTGAGCGCCCACTTCTGACTCTGGTAGAGGACTTAACTGTGCATTCCCAGACGGCTCAGCGTCACAGGCCAGGGCAGGGTGCCTCTCCAAAGTCTAGGGGAGGGCTGCAAAAGGAGACTGCTTACATTATGACTGTTCTTCTCAAGCAGATTTATAACAGCAAGTGCTAACGATGTGTATGTAGGTGGTTTGTTGGATGTGCAGTCAAGTTGCAGAAAATCATTCATTTAGAACATTTAGCATTGAGGCTGTCTTGGGAGCAGGTGACGCTGGGTCTGAAAACATGGAAAGTGTCTTCTTTCCCATTGTTATTTCTTGTAAACATTTCCTGCTCTACTGTGGGAAGGAGTGCATCATCCAGTGATACCGAAAGTGCCTCCGGAAGAACCGAAGGGGAAACACCATGACAAGGATACAATAAAAGTGTAGCAGATGGCTGCGAGTACTGGGGGGGGCTTCCATTTCTGTTTGTGATCCTTCCTTTGTTGGAAGGGAAGCAACTTCTGATTGTACTGATCCCCTGAATGTAAAAATGAGCAAACCTAACCACTGACCCTTTATGTTAAACTTTGTTGTTTTCATTGTTGTTGTTGCGGTTCTTGTTCTGAATTAAGGGGGAAATATGCACACCAAACATTCCCCATGTCCATAATTTCCTCATGTCAAATCTATAGACCTTGATTTTACTCTTCATATTGTGCAACCATTATCATGATCCTTTTCCAGATTATTCCACCCCCACTATTGCTTCCCTACACAGAAACTCCCCCTTCTTCCTCCCTCTGGTAACCACTCATAATCTTTGTTTTTTTTCTATGTTTGCTTATGTCATATAAGAGAGAGCATGCAGTATTTTCTCTATCACAATGAATTTACTTCCTTCTGATGTTCTCCAGATTCAGCCGTTCTTGGGCATGCTAACAACTCTTTTGGGAGGTTTCTCGATCCCTGTTTAGAGTGAAGCAGCCAGTTACCAGAATTAAAAAATAGCTATGGAAATAATATTTGCCTTTCATGCTGCCAGAGATGTTTTCTAGCTGCTCATTTCCTACTGAGCAGCCCTTAACCTTGACTGAACAGCCCTTAACCTCAACCAAGCCAAGCTTCTGTTCTCTGCCACCTGAGGCCAAACTTAGTTCTTAGTCCTTCAGCCAGATCTGTGGTCATCAGGTACCACGCTCCTACTGCTGAGTCCTCCAGCAGCAGCCCAAAGCCATGGGACCCCCACTCCCACTACTCGTCAAGCTGCTTCTTAACTTTGCCCGGGCGGAAAAGGTAAACATTGACCTGGCTCCTGAAGCCTTACATTGTGCTCAACAGGCTCAGAAATGCCAGTGTTATTCAAGGCAGGAAAGGGGGTATTGGATATCACCCCTGAATCCTTTACAGTAGCAGACCCAATCGCACCCCCTTATCCCTCCTGCCCTGCGTAAAGGAGTCTTGGTCTGGAATGAAAGAAACAAGTATTGAGATAAGCAGTCTTCTGACATATTTGTGCCCGTGGCAGTCTAATCCTTCAGCCTCAAGCATGTAAAGCACAGACATTGATCAGCAAGCTTTCAGGAGCAGTAGGGCAGAGTTGAATTTCTGCAAGAATGCTTTATCTCAGGAGGTTATCTGTGAAGCTTCATTTTTGTGTATGTTTGTGCACTCCCTCCAGGGAAACAGATGCTTTTGCATCAGGGCTGCTCTCCGACAGTCTCTCTTTATTTCTCCCCCCCTCTTTTTTTTTTTTTTTTAAGGACCAAAAAACTGATCATTGATGTGATTCGGAACCAATCAGGACACACATTGACAGAAATCTTAGAGACACCTTCAACGCCACAACAGGTAAACTCTCTTTGAGTGTCTATTAATAAGTATAGTAGATATGAGGGTTTTTTTATTAACATCTAAATGTTCATGCCAGATGTTTACTGTGATCTGAGAGGACCTCCATCTGATGTGACTTGAAAGGAATTTGATCTGTTAATTCTGGTCCACTGGGTTCAGCTTGATATAAAGCCCATAAGGAGCTCCCAATGAGAAGGAGATAGAAAATGCTACTGGGAGTTTATGCTGACCTTACAGAGCTTAGTCCTAGGGAGACTCTGAGGAAGAGAGAGTTTTGGAATGTTCATCATAAACTTTATTTATCACCCAGTTGATGGGTGGAAAAGAGGGCTTGGAGATAGGTCTAGTTGACAGGATGTAGAAAAATACCTCTCATACTTTATATATTTGCTCGAGAAGTTTCTCAAACACTTAGCTGTTTTGTCCAGATGGTTTAGAAGAAAAAGTGGAGAGTGCATCAGGTCAAAGCATCATTGTGCTGGGGAAAAGTAAATCAAGTTTCATAACAATTTTGCATTAACCTTTTTGTCAACACCTTTAGGAATGCAGCCTTGTGTAGTTCATTCTGAGAGTTAATGTCAGCATTATTGTTTTAGCGCTAATTTTTGTTACTCCCTAAACAACAGCTAAGGTCTCTAATTAGTTACCTCTTAGCAGACTACCCATAATTTTCCCGAGTCATTCTGAATTTAATTGATTGTCAATAAAGCATTCTGCCACCACTTTTCAATAAAAAAACTAAGTCAAACTTCTAGTTTTATCTGCTGTTTGTTCACCAGTGAGTATATTTTTAAACAATAGAATATAATACTACCTGCATTGTTGTTGCATGGTACTGTGAAGTCGGAACTGACCCATAGCTGACTGTGCAGTAAGGTTGTCAGAGGCAGTAAACCACACTAAGATTGTCCATTCTCCCATGGAGCAGCTAGTGGATTCGAACCATATGCCTTTGCGTTGCCAGTGCAACTCCTCACCTGTAGACCAGGGCTCCTCTTGTACTATGTTAACATAAGAGACTCGAGGTCCTTATAGGATATTTCATTCCACCCCCCTAGATGTAGCACAGTGACAGAGCTCAGACTATTGAGTTCAGCTATAACTCTGTAATCTGTTATTTATGTCATTCCAGTACTTTGACATATGCCTCAGTTTTATCAGCTGTAAAAAGGAAGTTATAATAGCAATAACCACAGTAAGAATAATTTAATTAAAGCATGTTAAATGGGTAAAACAGTAACTTATGCATACAATCCTCTGTACTGTTTAATGTTGCCAACTATTACTGTTGTTTATTTCTGACCTGGTAAACTATCTCTATATTCATAATGTTGGTTTTGCTATTTTGCGCCTAATATTACTGAGACGGATTGATTCAGTGACTGGGGCAATGGGGGTAGGTGTGTTGGAAACAGTGAGGTTGGCAGAAGATAGAGCAGGGTTTAGGGCTGTTGTACATGAGTTGCTATGAATTGCAAGCGACTCGACAGCACATAACAACAACAAGAAAATAATGATATCCTTGTTATTGTTACTGTGTACCATGGAGTTGGAACCAACCCACAGCTGACCCTCCAACGGGTTCTGAGAGATAGTAAATCTCACGGGAGGAGATGGTGCATCTTTCTCCCACAGAACAGCTGGTGGATTCAAACCCTGTGCCTTTGAGATTGCAGTGCAGCTTCTTACCACTAGGTCTCCAAAGCTCCACTATTATATCCTTAGACTTTATTGGATTAATCATTTATCTCATTTATTGAATCAATTAGTTGTCTCTGTCACTTATGGCCCATTAATTGTATTAATTGATTTTTTATTGCTGTGTACCTTCGAGTCAGAACCAACTCATAGCTGGCCCTCCAGTGGGTTTTCAGAGGCAGTAAATTACACGGGAGGAGATTGCCCCATCTTTTTCCCTTGGGCAGCTGGTGGATTTGAACCTTATTCCTTTGGATTGGCAGTGCAGCTCTTTACCACAGAGCCATCTTAATCTAAGGGATTGCACTGCCAACCAAAGGTGCATGGTTTGAATCCACAAGCTGCTCTTGTCTTTAAGAGAGAGCTATCTCATGTGGTTTAATGTCTCTGAAAACCTGCTCACTAAAGGGTCAGCTGTGAGTCAGTTTTGGCTGAACAGTAAACAACAACAACCACAACTCACTCACTGCTGTTGAGTCAGAACCAACTGACAGCTGACCCTGCAGCTAGTTTCAGAGGCTTTCCATCTCATGAGAGGAGATTTCCTGTCTTTTTCCCGCGAGGAGCTGCCTAGCAGTGTGACTCTCTAGGGACTGTGCCAAGGGCACTCCCTAATCAGTTGTAGGGGTGTTGAGTCCTGTCAGGTCAGAACCAATTCATCGCTGACCCTCCAGTGAATTTTCAGAGGTGGTTAATTGCACAAGAGGAGATGACCCATCTTTCTTCCTAGAAGCAGTTGATGTATTCAAACTACATACCTTTGAGTTGGCAAGTGCAACGTGGATAAATAATCACATTGTAAGCTCTCAAACATAGGATACATTAATGAAATCATAAATACTACCTGGATTTAGTTTCCAAAAGACAATGATTAAAGGAGACTGGTGATCTGCCCATTTTGCTGTGGTTCAAAAAAACCATTTAAGTTTTACAGAGAGGATAGTATGAGAAGGGTGTCCTAGTCAGGAACAGGTCACTGGGTCACTGTGACATTGGCTAATGAACCTGCATTATGTGTCTGATATGTAACAAAGTATAGTTAAATTCTGCATGTTCAGGGATCTCATAGGCACACTTTATGGATAAGTTTGTTCATTTAGCTGGACCATCCAGGAATCAAAGTTGATCCTTCTGAAGGAATTAGAGTATGTCTTTCTTAACAGTAACCCAGCTATTAAGAATTTCACCCAAATTAGGTCTTGACCATATTGCTATGTCTCTCAAAAGACCTACTTCAGAACCCATAAAGGTCAACTTTTGCCTGGTCTAATGCCTGAGGACTTTTTAAAAACATTATTTTAACATTAACATTAACAATGTGAGATTAGGAGTGGGAGCGGTCAGAGCAAACTCCTCATCTGGACATTGTCTTTTCAGGAACTCGATCATGCCAAGGACATGCTGAGCCGCGCCATCATAGACTCCAGAGCTCCAGAGGAAATGAAAAATAGCCAATTCATGATTGAGGACACACAACTTCCCCTGGAGCAGAAGAAGAGGAAAATCCAGAGGAACCTCAGGACACTGGAACAGGCTGGACGTGTATCCTCCAAAAACAAATACCAGGACATCCTCAATGAGATCACCAAGGTTTCTGGAACAGTATTCTTTCTTCTTTATTTAGCAGGCCCTTGCTAGTCCTTGGTCACAGTACATTGGTGATTCTGTGAGACTAAACAAAGCACTCATAGGTGTATGTACCGTAGCCCTTACTATAATATTACAGGGTTTTTTAATAATCGCAAAGCAGTCGATGACTTTGAATAGAGAATAATGACAATTCCCTCAAGTCACTAGGAAAGTTGAAACACACCAGAAAATAAATGCTTAAGAAATGTGATTGGCGAATTTGGTCTACACTTTTCAACAGTACTTCCTTGCTATCAAAATGACACTTTAAAAGAACTTTCCCCTAAATTATTGGTTGTCCTATGCCAATATGCTGTTAGGACTTAGATTGAGAAGGTGATTCCATGTCGTGGTAAATTTTTCTCAAAGAACAATTTATCATAAATGCATTTCCAACTTAAAGATTACTGTCTGTTTTCTTAAGCCCATGTTTTTACCCACAAGAAATTTCTGAGAAAAGGATCTCAAATTAGTGCAAAGACAAAGGAGGCATCCTAGGAAGTGGCCAAGATCTGCTGGTCAAAGATAAGGAAGTATATGTTTTAAGATAAAAGGACTTTTTTTACCCAAATATGCAAATCAATATGGGTCTAGGAGTTACAGACTGTTTCATGATGGGGGTGGTGGCATTAATATATGCTCCCCTTCTGGGAGGGAACTATATGCAGCTTTATTCTTCTGTGGAAAGTTATGGTCAATTCAGCAAGTTGGCTTATTCCTCTTTAGAGTGACTCAGGAGAAATGACATTTCTTCCTGTAGTTTCGGGGTAGAAACTATTTGTTTTTGAGAAACTGGGCAATATAATTAATGTTTTTGACCTCTAAAAAGGAAAAGCTTATTGTAAAGCTGCTCACTAAAACTAGATAATTTATTACTATTATTATTATTTTATACTAGTTTACTTACAAAGTTTGTATACATTGTTTTTCACACCAGATCTTTCTCCTTTCCTTTACCCATCAAATTGTGTGACCCTATAATTAAGACTAGATTCTATTTAATGGATAATTTTTACATAAGATCACATATATTTATCCTTATAGATCTCTGGGACAAACTACCCCCAGGGGTTTTTTTTGTTTACTCATCAAAGAAAAATAATCTTAAGCCAGCAGTATTTTCTTGATGTTCTCTTGACAACAACAAAAATGAGTTGAATGTCTGAATGTTTAACCCTAGCCTAGCTCTTATAAGGTGAAGCATCTTAAGCAATTGCATAGTCTCAGAATTCTGCTTAAATCCAAGCAACAGTTTCCACTCTTGAATCTTTTCAAATCGATGTTGAAAGTCAGTTGTTGCATTTGCAAAAAGTGAAGAAATGGTCGCAGTTTTTAAAAAGGAGTTTGGGGGACATATTTCTAAACTAAATGCAACATTTTTATCTAAAGGCATTCTTGAAGGCTGAATGCTCAAAATATTGTGCAGAAATTGTGTGTCTCCTGGTGGATTTTTATGGTGCCTTTAATTCCTTAAACTAGTTGTATGACTATTCTAAAATTATTTCTTTGCTTTTCCATCAAAAAATAAAATTCTAATCTTAGCCTAAAATACAAAATACAGACATTTTCTAATTCTGAAGTATGAAAAGATGCAAATTCTTATTGATAATAAGTTAAAATTTGGTGAAACTAGTAGTTCATATTCATACATATTCCTTATTACTACTTGGCATTCTTCTTGCCCCAAATTCTCAATGTTACAGAGTGACTTTCTACTTAAATATAATATGATTGTTTTGTTTTGTTTTTTTACTTGTTAATTTAGGACATTCGGAATCAGAGAATTTATCGTAAGCTTCGAAAAGCCGAATTGTCAAAACTTCAACAGACTCTGAAAGCACTTAACCAGAAGGCAGCATTTTTTGAAGAACAAATTAATTATTACGACACCTACATAAAGACTTGCTTAGACAACTTAAATAGAAAGTAAGTTAAAATCATGTTTGTTTTTGCTTGCCCTGGCCTGTTTGATATAGACTTCTACAACCCTTGGCTTTGAGGTTGGGTTGACTTGTGTTTCTAAGCAAGCTTACTGCTTTATTCTAGAATCTGAAACTAGAAGTTCAATTTTCATTATTGCCATGGTGCGTGAAAAAACCACAAATGAGCTGAAAAACTTTTCACTTCCCCATCAGTTAGAAGTACAGCAACTTTCTTATCTTTTTGTGTGTTTTAGGCAAGTAGCACTAACATTTGGAGAAGCACCCCAGTTATTCCTTTTACCTTTTTTCAGTCAAGGGTGTTTTGTGGTTGTTTTTTTTTTTTTTTGCATTGATTGTATACTTTATCTTGTTTCCATTTTTTATTACATTTTTTATTAATGATTTTTTGTTAATTTTACGGCATATTCTTTCCATTTAATTTCTTCCCCATTCATTCATTGTTGCACATTTTCCCTCCTACCCACCCCTCTCCCCAGTTTGTTTTTCCCTTTGAAGAAAAAAAAATTCTTTCATTGTTTATACTATCTCACCCTGCCCCCCAAGTCCACAGTCCACTTTAATATGCAAGGGTGTTTTTAAAATACTGTTGGGAAAAGGGGACTCTAGTAGACAGGTAAGAGAACGAACAGACAGGTTCTTCTACAGAGGGTGAAACCAGGCTGTTCCTTAGAAGTCAGGATTCTGAGGCTCCGTCTAATTTACTTTGGACATGTTGGAAGGTGATATCGGTCTTTGGAGAGGGATATCATGCTTGGGAGGATGGAGGAACAGCACAATCCTGGATGAGATAAATTGATTGAATGCCCGGGGTAATGGGAGTAGGTGCATCAGAGACAGTAAGATTGGCACAGGACAGAGCAGGGTTTAGGGCTGTTGTACATAGAGTCACTGTGAGTCACAAGTGACTCGACGGCACATAACAACAGCAACAACAGTGACCAAATGGGAAGAAGCTGCACTGCAGTCCCAACAGCACGTGGTTCAAGACCACCAGCTGCTCTGTGGGAGGATAGGCAGTCTCCTCCTGTGCAATTACCTGCCTCTGAAAACCTGCCAGAGGGTTGGCTTTGGCTCTGCGGTACACAACAACAACAACAGCGGTGTAATCCATAGAGAGTTGCACTGCTTACCCAAAGGCCATGACTCTGTCAGATCCATTCCACTAGCCACTCCCCAGGAGAAGGATGGGTAATCTGCTCTCTCACAATTTATAGCCTCAGAAACCCACTAGAGGATCAGCTTTGTATGAGTCAATTCAGAATCAATAGTGAGTTGCATTTGAATTATGAAAAATGAAAATGACTCTGGCATCCACTTTCGTAATAGCTTGTCTCTGGAAACCCTATGAACCTGGAGAAAGGATGAAAGTTATACAGGTGTCCAGGTCTTTCATTCATAAGGTTGCTATAAGTCACCTACGACTTGATTTGACGGCACTTAACAACAACAACAAATATAATTTTATTGATATGCTTGATGATATTGGATAATGGCAGATGTTTGTTAATTGCACAAAGCAGCTTGTGATTTTTAATTACTGAAACTCAAAACATCGTCCAGTGGATTCCACTTCCAAGCAACTCTGTGGAACAGAACAGAACTGCCCTATAGGGTCTCTCAGGGTGAGAAGCTTTACTAAGCAGACTGCCTCTGTCTCTCCAATGGTCAAAAAGCACCTCTGTGGTTAGCGGCCAAGCGCTTTTAACCACCTCTCCATCAGGTTCCTTTTAGATTGTGTCGTGACTTAAAAATTCATTATCCAGTTTTTCTCAGTCTTACCCCCACCCCAATGCCAGCCTCATTCTACAACAGTGGCACCATATAGCATTTGTCCCATTGTGACTGAGATACCTCACTCAGCATAATGT